AAGACGCTTACCTTGAGCTTCGCATAGCACTTTTTCATCTTTTCTTAAGTGCTGATCATGTCGAGGCCCGCTGACATGGCTGGCGCCATACGGTGTTCCCCCTGTTTTAGTATGTGACAATGCTGGAATAGCATTGTTCAACCCTAAAATTATCATGCCATGATGAAACAACGGTGGCAGCATGGTCAACAAAGTACTTTCTTGGCCACCATGCATCGAACCTGATGAGGTAAACACACAAGCAGGCTTGCCATGCAAAGCTCCATTGAGCCAAAGACTGGTGGTTTGATCGAGGAAATATTTCATTTCAGAGGCCATGTTACCAAAGCGGGTTGGTGAGCCTAGCGCCAAACCTGCACAGTTTTCCAAATCCTCTAAACTACAATAAATATCGCCTTCTGCAGGAATACTCGGCTCTGCTTCCTTCACCACAGCCGCAATATTCGGCACCGTTCGAATTTTAACTGCAACACCACTGGCTTCAATTCCATTTGCAATCAGATGCGCCATTTCACGGGTACTGCCATATTTGCTGTAATATAAAACTAAAACATAGGTTTGCATGAATAGAGTTCGGTGACAGAAAAAATAAAACTATACGGTATTTTTCCTATTTTTTGGTTAAGCTTAGGGTGAAAAATGTAGAAAAGATGAAGAAAACAAAAGAGATACTTTGCCTATGTTAGAACAGTACTTAAGAAAACTTCCTTTCTATGAGAAAACTTGGTTTCAGTTCGTTTTATTTGTACTGCGCCGCTTTGAGGCCGATCGATGTCGTGAACAAGCGGGTTCACTGACCTATACCACCTTGTTTGCCGTCGTTCCGATGCTGACGGTTTTTTTGGTGATCATTTCCTCAATTAAAGCGCTTGAACCTGCACGGCAGCAATTACAACAACTGATCTATAGTAATTTTTTACCGAAAACCACGATTGCTTTTGACAAGGCCTTAAATGCGTTTACCGATAAATCCAGTAATTTAACCATTATCGGGATCTTATTTTTATTCGTCACCACCGTCATGATGCTAACCAGTATTGAAACGGTCTTTAACCGAATTTGGCGCGTTCGTGAGACTCGCGGCGGCATTATTGGCTTTATGCGCTATTGGACCATTATTTCTTTGGGCCCCATTCTACTCGGTAGTGCCTTTGTTATTTCATCGACAATGGCTTCCCTCAATGTTCTGAGCAATAATTTTGCAGGCTATGAGCTTGATGGCGCATTTGTCCTGTGGTTGATTTCATTTTGCTTAACCGTCGTTGGCTTTTTTATCCTGAATTGGACCATTCCAAACCGCAGTGTCCCGATTAAATCGGCTTTGATTGCAGGTTTATTTAGTGCCGTCGTGTTTGAACTCCTAAAAAACTTATTCGGCTTCGTTATGTCGAACTTCACCAGTTATGAAATTATCTATGGTGCATTTGCCGCGATTCCCATTTTCCTATTATGGATTTTTCTGTCATGGAATATCGTCCTGATTGGGGTCGAAATTAGTTATGCACTGACCGCATTTACCTCCCATAAAGAGCAAAAACGGCATCCTGTGATTATGCTGCTGGATTTGCTGGAACTGTTTTATAAAAAGCAACAGCAAGGACTCAGTGTTTCTGATGATGAAGCTTTAGATGTATTAGGGCGGGATGAATTGGGGCGTTGGCCGAGTTACGTGTTTATGCTTGAACAGCAAAACTTAGTCAAACGTACCGATGATAACCAATATGTGCTGGTACGTAATTTATCTCAAGTCGATTTTTGGAGTTTTTACAGCAAACTTCCTTACCCTTTACCAAAGCGTAAAGATTTGGGTAATGTCCATCCTGATGATGTCTGGATGCAAAAAATTGGCCCAGCGTTAGTAGAATCAGATGATTA